TTATTATTTTTATAGGATTACAAATTGTTATTTAGTGGGTATAATTTAATACATATTTTAAATTGTTATACGATTATGCTACAAGTAATATATTTATTGTGCAGGGAAGCAAAAAAAAAAATTTTGTTCTTCATGGGGTAGAAGAAAATACGGATAAGTGTAACTCAAACTACAAGTCAAGATGTGCATTGAAAAGGTACAATAAAAAAATGAAAGAGAAGATTCCTGAGTCTAGTGAGAATTCTTTAGAAGAGTTATTCATGAGGATGAGCTTACATTCAAATAAAGGCATTTCGATCAATGAAAACGATAACAACAGAAATAATGATGAGGAGCAAAAGATATATATATAGGTGGTCCTTATTAAAAAACCATGAAGGATCTCCAATACTTCTTTCAATCTAAATCTAAAACCATCTAAAAATCTCTCTTAACTCAACAAATGGGTAATGATATAATATTTCAACTTAAACCTAAAATCACTAATACTCATATTTTGGAAATCATGTAATGTGTATATATTACTTTTACTTTTGCTTAATATGTTATATATATATACATGAATATCAATTAAGTGTTTGTTTAGAATGTAATCTCACATTAACTAACTATAATAACCTATAGTAATAATATACTTTTTGACTAGCTACTCTTACAATATTATAACATTTTGGGTCTAAATCTAATATGATTTTAAAAATAATTAAGTATTATATAACCTATCTTTTGTTAATATTATTCTATCCATACATTATCTCCTCATATAAACTCTTTATATGGTGATCATATTGAGTAAGAATCTAACAGCAATATTAATAGCATTGATTTTATTGTTGTAGCTACAATAGATGAAGAGGTAGCAACCAAAATAGAGAAAATAACTGTGAAGATCAAAGATGAACTAATATTAGAGAACTCAAATCTGTCAACGATACAATGCAATGAGAAAATCATTTTGCCTTCTATAAATAAAGATTTCAATTTACTAATTAACCGAGTAGATGGAACTGTTAACAGATGATGTTGGGGTTAAAATTGATGTTGTGGATTCTACAAATGAAATTAATCGCTCCACAGCTAGAGAATTAGAGTCATTAATGATTCAAATGAATGGACTTACTGGAGAAGCTGTCTAGATTTTGAATTAATAATGAAGGAGGGCCTTCGTCTCCTAGACCACCATCAATTCTAATCACCATATTTCTACTTCCTTAAATTTTTAGATATTTTTATTATATTAAACCCTTTATCATTAAATATCTCTTTCTATTGCCATTTTGACTTGCTATTAAGAATTTCTTACATATAATATGCCTACCAATATACGTGCATAATTTACGTATTATATATGCATACAATATTATGTATAATTTCATTTCCGTACATATCATATGCCTAGTGGCATGCATGCAATGAATGTTAACACTATTTACATATGATATATGCATTTTAAGTATTTTAAGTACAGACAACTTGTGCTGCCTAATAATAATAGTGATCATATCTAATATGCACATTATATATATATATGTAATATACTCATCATAAAACATATATGATGATCCCTATGATTGAATGCATATGTATTGTGTAATTAAAAGAAAGGATTTAGTAATTAATAATATCTCCAACATATCAAAATTTATCATAATTTGTGTAAGTGTAATATTAGTTATATGTAAAAACTCATCCAAATTACATCCCTAAAAAAAAAATTCAGCTTGCATTTACAGATCTGAAATGAAAAGTAAAAAGAAATTTAATAATTATAGATTATAAGATGAAGATGAATGAGAGAAAGTAATATTAGGAAGTTATTTTAATTAAATAGAAACAGAAAAAGGTAATTAATAATGGGTAATAAAGTTCATGCTCTTTAGTGTCTAGTTTTTGACAAGATAGGTATGCAAAATTCATAGCATTCAATTCAATATATTTGTTTTACCTGCAACATTATTACTGAGCAATCAAAAAGCATTTTGCTTTCACTAGAAGGAAAATACATAAATTTTGGATATAAATATAAAATCTCTATTGGAAAAATAGGTAAGATATTTTTTTCTATTAGTATAAACCTTTTATTTATATCTTATGACAACAAAAAAAATTGAATATTGTACATCTGTCATTAATTAAATTATAATTATAATTACTTAAGAATTAAAATTTAGCTATAAATATAAAATGCAATGTCTCGATGCCAATTGGGGCACCAACATCTAATAGAGCAAGCATAAAGAAAGATATGTACATAGCAGTAGAACTATTCACCCCAATACAACATACAAAAAACTGTACACTGAGGCATTAAGTTATCTATACTTATATACAAATCAAACGAGATAACCTATAAAAAAAATACTAGCCTCTAAAGAGTTTTAACAAATTATACAAGTCTAGTCCTATTTCTTATCCTCTAGGAAGGAAACTAGACAAGAGTCCTCAACAACTCATAAGAATCTGCATCTTGGAGGAGGGGTTGGAATTGGGTGAGCTCTAATTCTAGATAAGATAGGCAATATTAAAGACATACAAACATGATTTGAAAACATTTTCTTAATGCAGATTTAAAGAAAACAATGATAAAAGCAATAATCAGGAAACAATAATAACATAGTACTCAATTAACCATCAATGACGCTTAATATCGTATTCAGTGTGTTCACATAATTCACACATACGCACTCAGAACTAGACACATCTTCTAACTTAGTTTTAATACCAAATTATTATCTTAATTTTAATTCTATTGTTTACAAGTCTACATGCGAAACTGCTTACACTACTTCCATGGAGGCCACAGGTCACCAACTAGTTAAGGATGGAAACGCAATTAATTAGTAATAATAAAGACATAAATAAATACATAAAAATCACTCAATACTCTCCAGTCGTCGTCAATATGTTATCATTTCGGTCGCCATCGTCCAAATACTAGAGCTCTAAGACATGTACACAATCGGTTCATGGTCATCGATCACTGAACCTTATTTCATGGACACTATGTTATTTGTATTTTAGACTCTTTAATAATTTCTCTCTTAACTTTAATATGTTATTTCATCCTATTTGTTTTGCTACATGTAAAATTAATGTTATTATTTAATTACTTGAATTATTATTTAGTTTATTTATTCTACTTAAACTTTTATTATAGTTAATTATATTATTTTGATTACTTAGATTTTTAATTCGATTCTTTTTAATTAATTTAAATATTTTATTTTATTCTTGTCTAATTCTTTTCTAAACTTAAATTAAGTTTTATTGTTGTTATTATTATTATTATTTTCAATGCAGCCATCACGAATATTACCCAAATTTCTATCTCATGTTACACTTAACCATTTTCCAATATACTTTTACAAATTTCCACTTAATTACAAAATTTTTTTTCCAATTTTATTAATTAATTTTTTTTTCTTGATTCTTCCCTAAGGCCCCAACCTCTCCAATTATTCAACCCATGGGAAGTGCCCATGCTTGGCCTGTGGGCCAGTGGGCTTTCGTGAAGGCCCCTTGACATGTTATCATATCTGTCGGGCCAGCACAAAAGAAACTATGAAGCATGATTTCAAGGACATGTTATCCGTCCCTCTTCTTTTCTATTATGGTTTTAAGACGTTCATCATCGTCAATCACATTCGAACATAACAAAAACTTATTAAATACAATTAAAATAGATTAGATAATATCAAGCACAAGATGAACACACTCAACCCTTTTTCCATTTAAAAATCCACTTCCTCTACGCATTTTTAAAGAACACATCCTATGAAATGCAATCTAGAAATGCCATCTTTGTATGAACTAAACTACTACCCATTTTACCTCAAAGAAGTAGCAGCAACATGCCAAAGAATCACAAGAAAAGGTTGGATTGAAAGCTTGAAGAACAGTTCCGCAATACGCGCAACTGTTGTAGAAAGTGAGATTAATTTCTAGTTTCCTAGAGTGTTTAGCTTTGTCTAATTGATTTCTAACAAATCCCTAATATCCTATTATGATTCTAGGTTACATAAGGCTCACTAGATTAACTAAATGGAAGAGAAAAAAGAGGGACAGTGGCATACCTGCTCAGTCTGTAACTTCTAGAAATATTTGAGAAAAATGGCTTCGGTTGAAGTCTTCTGCACAATCTGGAGTCCTGAAGTTGTTAAGAAATGTGTTTAAGTGTGAAGGAAGAGTGGAAGAATGCAATTCAAGGAGAAAAGACGCTTACCTTAAACAGAAACCAAGTTTTGAACTCCCAATCTCACCATTTTCTTGTGGGTTTGTTTGTTAGTAGAAGAAATGAGGAAGAAGTTGTGGTGTAGAAGAAGACTTAAGGGAAAAGTCCAGCTAATCCAAGCCTTCCATTCACATGCAACCACTCCTAACCGTAGATGTAAGCACATGACAGACAACTTGCTGTAGAGTGGAGCTGAAGTTGCGACATCTGGCCTGACAGAAGCTTGTCCCAGCTAGCTGGTTGAGGCACTAACACCATTTAGTGTAGTGGTGTCACAACAGACCAGGCCGAAGTGGCCACTTATAGGTTTGCCTTGTTCTGGCCCCCTCTTTGGTTTATATGTAAACATATATATACACACCTTTATGCAAAGTTTGAATTTTAATATGATACACAATAATAAAAACACCATTTTAAGGCTGAATTAATGGTATTTTTTGTTGGGTTTATATTTATACATATATATTTACATATATATACATACACACATCTGTATCTATTCATTTATATATATATATATTTACTCTTTCATTTATGTATTTATGCATATGTTTACTTATACATACACACATCTATATATAAAAATTTAGTTCAATTCATATAATATATATCTTTTATTTTATTATTATTGTTGTTATTATTATTATTATTATTATTATTAATTTATTTAAAGTAATAAAAATTAAAAAAATAGAAATATAATATTCTTATAAAATACCAATATTGAAAATAGTTCTTTCATTAAAAATTTAAAGGTTCAATTTTTTCCACTTCTGATAATTGTACTTAAATTGTTAATCTCTTTTAAATTCATTTTATTTACAATAAAAAATATATTTATTTTAAATTAGTAAATAAATCACATAACGAAAATACCTTATTTGATACGGGTTTATGGTAACACACAATTAGTTGGTTGTTACATAAAATTAAAAATTTAACTAAAAATATAAATTTTATAAAGTTTTCATATTCATTCACAATATTTCTAAATTATATTTAAAATATCAAATACATTTTTTTGACTAAAATCTAAGAGAATTATGCAATTCAAAACATCAAATATATATATTTTATTAACTAAAAATAAAACTTATCATAATTTCTATAATTCTAATATTAGTTATATATAAAAATTGATCCAAATGTACCTATCTTATAAAAGAAATTCATCCTACATTTACACACTTGAAAAGGAAAAGTAAAAAGAAATTAATTTATTGTAAATAATACATATAATATAGGTTATAAAATGAAGATAAATGAGAGAAATTAATATTAAGAAGTTATTTTAATTACTTAAAAACAAAAAATGGTAATTAATTATAGGTAATAAGGTACATGCATTTTAGTGTTTAATTTTGAACATGATACATTTGCAAAATTCATAGCATTCAATTTAATAGATACATTTTACCTGCAATATTACTGTTGAGTAGTTAAAAAGCATTTTACTTTCACTATAAAGAAAATATAAAAATTTTCAATTCAAATAGAAAATATCCATTGGTAAAATAGATAAGGTATTTTTCACTATTAGTATAAACTTTCTCTTTATATGTTGCACCAATTAAAAAAAATTGAATATTGTACATGTATCATTAATTAAATTATAAATGTATTACTTAAGAATTAAAATTAACTATAAATATAAAATTACAAATTTAACTAAAAACACATAAATTTTATAAAATTTTCATATTCATTGAAAATATTCTTAAATTAGATTTGAAATATCAAATACATTTTTAGGTTAAGACAAAAAGGAAATAAAAATGAAAAATCCATCCAAGGTTGCCATCCTCAATTTATATGACTGTTTACTACTTGATTCATCTCGATATGTACATTTTTCTCTCTATCTCCATCTATGTCTCTTTCTCTCTTTGTCTCTCTCCCTCTCTTTCTCTCTTTTTTTGTCCCCCTCTATCTCTATCTCTCTCTCTTTGTAAAACATGTTTCATATAAAAATTGAGAGCCTAGAACTTACTGGTTGCAAAATACTATCGTATGTTAAACAAAATAAAGAAGAAGTTAGGTCAAATCAAAATTCAAATGCTAAAGGATCAGCAGCATCCAACATCATCGATCAAATACGAGTGATAGTTGGAGTAAGTATCAAAATATACATATATGCGAAGGATTCGATGCTTTTTTAGAACTTATTAAAATGCTCTATCTTGAAACAA